CTCTGAGAGCCAAGCTCTGGCATAGGTCGCTCTGAGAGCCAAGCTCATACCCCCTGCCACTAATATCATTACTTTTTAGAACAGTATCAGAGGGTAGTCCTGTTGGTCTGAAGAGCTAGATTTAAGTCCAGTAGCAATTTAGAGACCAACAAGATTTTTGGGATATAAACTTTCAAGACTCAAAGCTCCTTTTGCCAGATATCTGATGATGGGAGCTTTGACTCTGAAAACCTTATACCCAAAAAATCTTGTTGATTTTTAAAACAAACTCTCATTCTTTAAATGGAAACTGTCAGATCACAACCATGGCTAGCTGAAAGGAAAGACAGAATCTGCTTTAAGGAAGAGCCTTGGGTGGGATGGAGTCAGCACTCCAGCTGTGATGGAGAGGAGTACCTGGGGATGACAGCTGGTTACAAACTGTGGATAACTTTGCCAGCATGCTTAAACAGAGTTAGTCCCATAAAGCAGCTTGCTATAGGCTATGACCTACACAGCAGAATCATAGAGAATGGAGAGATTCTCAGCCAATGTGGCGTAGCAGTTAGAGTGCCAGATTAGGGCCAGGGAGATGAGAGTTCAAATCCCCAGTCGGGAAGCTCACTGAGTGACAAGGTTGCCAACCTCCAGGTGGGACCTGGATATCTCCCAGAAAAATAACTGATCTTGAGAAAATGGCTGATTTGGAGGGTGATTATGGCATTACCCCACTATGCCCCTTCCTCTCCCCAAATGCCACCCTCCCCAGTCTCTATTCCCAAATACCCAGGAATTTCCCAAGCCCAGGTTGGTGATACCCTGACCTGGATAGCCCGATCTCATCAGATCTTGGAAGCTAAGCAGGGTCAGCCCTGGTCTGTATTTGGATGGGAGACCAACAAGGAATATCAGGGCCATGATGCAGAGGCAGGCAATAGCAAATCACCTCTGAACGTCTCTTGTCTTGAAAATCTCACGGGACCTCCATAAATCAGCTGCAACTTGATGGCAAAAAAGAAGAAGTTGGCAACCCTCCTGAGTGAATTTGGGCCTCTCCCTTCACCTCATTTACTTTAAAGAGGTGCTGTGAGGATAAAATGGAAGAGCAGAGAACTGCATGTGCCACCTGAACTCCTTGGAGAAAGGACAGGATAAAAACAGGACAGATGGTGCCATGTTTGATGGCATTAATAATAATATTTAGCATCTATATAATCAGTTCCAAGTGTTAAAAGCACTTCCTCGGCATTATCTCACTGATGCTTCCAACCAGCTCTGCATGGGTGGGCAATGTTAGGGCTCCAGATTTAGATGCCTGAGACAGAAGGAAAGCTAACAGCTTGGATCAGTTATGTGAATTCATAGTTGAGGGTGACACAGGAAGCTGTGCTTCCTTGCTTTAAGTTCACATTCCTACCTACGCCAGCTCAAAGTAACTGGTGCTTCCCTGAAGGCTGTACGCAGAGGAGGAAGCCACAAATTCAGATTTGGCAATCTCAGATTTCATAGAATTACGGGGACAGACAAAAACTTCCCAAACGGACTATCTATGCAATCCCAGGCAGAGTTACACCCTTCTAAGACCATGGATTTAGAAGGCTGTAACTGGTTATGATCACACTATGGAAGCAATTTAGTAATCATTCCCTTTTGCCAAGGACTTGGTGGAATTGTAGTTCTGTGAGACAGCATAGGGATTCAAAGAATCCTTATCAAACTACAATTCTCAGGATTGTTTGAGGGAAGTCTTGATGGTCGTGGCTTCCTTGATCAAGTCAATCCATCTCATGTCGGGGCTTCCTCTTTTCCTGCTGCCTTCCACTTTTCTGAGCATGACTGTCTTTTTCAGTGACTCTTGTCACACTATGACACTAGTATAAGACTGATATGAGGTTTCAGGGTAAATAAGTCCACCTATTCAGAAGTGACCCCAGGAGCTGGAGTGAAATAACCTCATACCTAGAGCATCCTTGGCAGGAGATTTCTCAGCATCCTTTTGTTTAAAATCTCCAGCGGTAAAGATTCTGTAGTGTCCCAACGCATCTTGTTGCCAACCACTTTATTAGGAGGGGTTGGCGTTTAAAAAAACAACGCAGTGAGCTTCATTTCATTCCGCCCACTCACATCGAGTGGTGCAGCAAAAGCTGCAGTTTGGCGCCGCTCGTATCTTGGAGCTCTCTAGGCACATAGAACATGAGAGGGTGAAACTGAAGGTAATGATGTGAAAGACATGAGCCTGCCAACAATCTGGGCCTAGTGCTTTTCACACAACCTCATCACTGGTGGCTTCAGACCAACGGTGCCTATTTCAGGGACCACCCAGCCACCTGTGCAGGCCATAAAAGCACTTGGCAACAGGCAAGTTTAAGAGGAGCTTTCCTGTTTATTGTGAATGTGTAAAAAAAAATCTGAGGCTTCATGTTACACAGGAACAGGTGACATGACATTTATCTGAATGTTACAAATCAGTCATTGGGACCGGGCAATTTGGATTGTGGCTGTGGTGCTGTGAATTAATCCTTTCTCACCTTGTCATGTTCTCAATAGAAAATAGCTCACCTCCATGAACCATTATCTATCTATCCTGGAAGGGGCCAGTAGATCATTGTAAGATCAGAAGTCTTGCCATTCCCACATCTGTCAGC